AACTGACCTCCGGTTCCTGTTTGAAACAGGTATCAATGCCTCAATCTTATTGCAGGAGCTGACAATCCCAGACTACTCACTCATTATAATAAAATTAGGCCCCTAAATTGCAACGGTCACGGGCTCGTTGCCCACATCAAGGACGAGTTTCCCTGTGACAGAGACACAAATAACAAGGACCCTGATCTCCCATATATGTGTTCCCACGTCCATTTATCTATAGTACCACATCCATCTTTGATCTGTATCACCTCCAAGACGAAGGGTCGGTAATCTTCGATCGAATATCAGGGATAGATGTTGTAGAGACATCTCCATCGAATATGAACTCAGATCATTGAATAACGTAGCCCGGATGCGACGGGACAGCAAGCGAACCTCTCCTACCTTTTTCCTACATCTTGTAAGGACAAATGCTTAGAAAAAGTTTTAGCCCCCATTGGCACGTCAAATCATTCCCTAGTCAGTGTCCACATTGACTCCAAATTAAGGACATCCCCTGAATTACCGTTCCAGAGAAGGGTTTTTTGTTATGCGGGGGGTACACTCGGACAGCTTTCCCAAAAGTCCCAAAAATTCATATACAAATGTCCTTAAAGACGCATGGCCTAGTAGATAAAAACGTTGGTTAGATCCAGTTGACTAGACTGTGAGTTCAATACCAGGCAACAGTAGTAGTGAACCCAAAGTCTGGCGAGTTCAGTTTAAGGGAAATAACTGAGACAAGAAGACGGAAGAGACATGGAAGGTAGTAGTTTGTTCTAGTTGTGGGGACTGAGCTTTTTTTGCCCCGGTATAAGCGCTTGGGTTCGCTACATTAAACCCAACCTCGTGTCACATTCCGCGTCTCATTGGAGAGACTAGCTAAATACTACCAAGTAAAATTTTCAGCTTTGTAAAGGAGATTAATCTTTATATTAGAATCTAAGTTTCTCATTTCTTTCTTTACGGTTTATACCTGGAAAAGATTTACAGTTTATTTTTAAGGAAAAAACAGTCGACTATATATAATCTAGATGCAAGTTGTAACTGGGAAAATTATTATTATATAATCTATATTTATCCCCAAAGTTGGTACTACAAGATTCCATTAAAATAAAAAATATCTTTATAGAATTCAAAAATATGACAGATTTAAATAATGCATTTTGATAAGCGGTAGAACAAATCAATAAATCGATCAATCAGTCATTCAGCAGATCAATCAATCATCCCCTTTGTCAATCGATCAACCATTTAATCGATCAATTAACCATCCAATCGATCAATCAATTATCCGATCGATCAAATAATCAGTCATCCAATCGATCAATCACTAATACCATCGATCAATCATCCAATCGATGAATCATCCGATAGATTAAACAATCAATCAGTCATACAATCGATCAATCACTAATCCCATCGATCAATCATCCAATCGATCAATCAATCATCCGATCGATGAAATAATCAATCAGTCATCCAATCGATCAATCACTAATCCCATCGATCAATCATCCAATCGATCAATCAATCATCCGATCGATCAAATAATCAATCAGTCATCCAATCGATCAATCACTAATCCCATCGATCAATCGATCAATCAATCATCCGATCGATCAAATAATCAATCATTCATCCCATCGATCAATCACTAATCCCATCGATCAGTCATTCAATCGATCAATCAATTATCCGATCGATCAAGCAATCAATCAATTATCCAACCGGTTAATTAATCAATCATCTAATCGGTCAGTCAATCATACGATCGAACAAACAATCAAGCAAACATCCAATCGATCAATCACTACTCAAATCGATCATCACCCAATCGATGAATCAATCCTCACATCGATCGATCAATCATCTAAACCATCAAGCAATCAATCATCCAATCAATACAATGCTGTGTTTTTCATAACTTCATACCTACGTTTGCACCCCTGTATATTTTTTGAAAAAGGTTTCCAAAATCTCATAAACATTATTCCAAGGAGGCTGAATAAATGTATCATTTGAAAGAGAAATCAATTTACTTTTATACAAAATCAACTTGTCATCCCGGATTTTCAAGAGTTTTTGAGATATCAATTTGTACTAGCAACACTGAGGAATACAGGGATTTAACAAGTGAAATAATCTTAAAGTTAGCTAGACGTTCTTTGACATCAATAGAATAGCCATAAAGTTAGTGAAGAAAAGGGCAATCTCCTGAGCTCTTCTTTATCAAAGTGATGTAAGTTTAATTTATCGATTTCTCCTTCTTATTCCGCTTCTTTATCAGTTACAAACTTGAAGGTGAAATTAAGTTGAAAAACGACAAGACCATTCAGGAATTTGTTTTCCTCGGCATCAACATCCAGTCAACGGAGAGAGACATCAAAATCCGCAAAGGGAAGGCCCGGGGTGTCCTTGATGGTCTGAGCACCAACTGGAAGTCCTTCTCTGACAATCTTAAGAGGAACTTCTTTAAGGCCACAGTAGAATCTGTCTTGCTCTATGACTCAAAAACATGGACACTGACGAAATGCCAAGAAGCATCACTTGACGGAACATACACAAGGATGTTACGAGTTGCATTGGACATCAGCTGGAAGAAATACTCAACAAAGAAACGCCTGTATGAACAACTTCCTCTTATCTTAGTTTCGCTAAGAGAGAGAGGGTTTTGGCTAGCTGGTCATTCCTGGAAAAGTAAGTCAAAACTTGTCAGACAACCTCCTGTAGAACCCATTACGCGGTAAAAGATCGGTTGGAAGACCTCATCACACCGACATTGAACAACATGTAGATGACTCTGGATGCCATCTGCAGGACCTGCCGACAGCGATGTCTGACAGAGATGGGTGAAAGGAACGAGTCAGAAGAATCCGAGAAGAATTCTGAACCTGATATTGATATATATATATATATATATATATATATATATATATGTGTGTGTGTGTGTGTGTGTGTGTGTGTGTGTGTGTGTGTGTGTGTGTGCAAATACATAGAAAAATAGGGAAGAACACGTTAGGTAAATAATCCAAAGTTCTTTAGTATTTTGTTTTCATTTAAAAAAACAGTGCTCTCATTACACAACACACACACACACACACACACACACACACACACACATATATATATATATATATATATATATATATATATATATATATATATATAGCTTCCTGTTATATCTGAATTCAAAACAATGGATTTATTTACTTCTTTATTTTTTTATGGCTTATCAACATTTTACTGGTTGTTTAATGTCAGAAAATATTTTTAGATCGTAAGAACTTTGGGGGGAAAATAACAGAGTGTTTCAAAAGTCGGTATCACCTTACGAAACTGTATATCTTAATAACTATTGATGATATCAAAACACAATTTATATTTTAAGTTATTCACGTCTTCAGATCATCCATGTCTCTGGGAAGGGATGGTACGTACACAAGACGTTTTACTATGCTCAGAGGAAGAAATCACATGGCGTGTTGTCTAGAGATCTAGGTGGCCATCGTAGGAACACGTGATCAGTCTGTCCGCAACATCCAACCCATCTGTCAGGCAGAGTAGTGTTCATGATTCGTTATACTTTGTAAATCAAAGAGCGAAGGTCCCTTAAACGGCAATTACTTGCAAAACAACATTATATACCAAGCTACTGTAAAATCAGCAGATAACGAAGAAAAATATACATAGGTGTAACTAAAGGGTCCTGGAAACAGAGAAACTACGCACACAAACCATCCTTTACAATTAGTTTGGTGTCTAGCCCCCCTCTAACCAGAAAAGACAGATGGGCGAATCGGTTTAGTTGCCGATGACACGTCCGAGCGGAAAGCAGTACTGGTTTGCCTGATACCTGAAACACTAGTAGAACAGCCTGACATAAAGTAATTAATGAATTAATTAAGGTATGATCTGAAATAATCAATGCGATAATTCTTTTAAAAAATGCCAAGGAATATACAGGGTGTTTCAAAAGTCTGTCTCAAATTACGGCACTGCATATCGTAAGAATTATTGAGGATATCAAAACAATTTAAATTTCCTGAAAGTTAATATTTCCACAATTCTATACAGGTTTTTACAGGTGTTCAAATATGAGCGCCGCGGGTTACACGACACACATCCAAAAGATAATCCAATTATTGCCAAACGCGAGCAAGCATAGCATTGTCGATGGTTGCCAAGGCTTCACCTATTCGTGTCTTCAGATCATCCACGTCTCTGGGAAGGGGAGTTACATACACGAGGCCTTTCACATAATCCTAGAGGAAGAATTCACATGGTGTGATGTCTGGAGATCTACGTGGCAATCGCAGAAAAAACCGATCAATCTGTCCGGGACGTCCGACCCATCTGTCAGACAGAGTGGTGTTCAAAAAATAAACTTAATTAAATTAAAATTAACAGAAGAAAAATTGACACTTTTAGGTTTTAAATGGTATCAGTTCAATAATGTTACCTTCTGCAGTTCATGATATAAGAGTTCTTAGGCGTATGGTTCTACAGAAGGATGCTGAGAATAACATGGACCGAGCGTGTGAGCAACGATGAGGTTTTGGAGAGGAAGCAATCGAGAGGGAGCTTATACTTAACATCAGGAAGAGGCAGATGAAATTTTTGGGTCACGTAATGAGAAAGGAGGGCCTAGAGAATTTGATACTCACAAGTCGAATAGAGGGGAAAGAGAGACAAGGGAAAGCAACGCATGACATAGCTGGCAGAGTTAAGCAAGAGGACGACAGAACAGGGCCTGGGGGAAGTAGCAAAGGGATAAAACTTATTGAGGACTACAAGGGATAAGGGGAAATGGAGAGCCATGATCGCCTACGTCCTTAAGGGACACGGCACATAAAAAGAAAGAAGATACAAGTCTTACGAATTAGGTGGGGGAGAAGAGGTGAATTCATACCATTTCCGAGGATATTTGTTTGTAAAGGAATATAACAAACCCAACCGGAATTGGAACTCAGCTCCCCAATTAATCATTCTCTATTACGCAATCCGCTCATCCAAGTTTACAGCAGCTGGGTATCCCCAGATGGTTACCCCCATCTACGTACTAACCACGCCCAACCATATTTGACTTCGGTGATCATACGGGAACTGTTGTTTCAATGCGATGTGCTCGTCAGCCGATTCATAATTTCATGTAGTATTTTTTATTTCTTTTTCTTTTTTTTGCAAATAAATTAATATAACGAACCCGACTGGAATTAGAACTCGGTTCTCCGATTTCCAATTCCAAGCCGTTAACAATTGCACCATCTCAGCATTTCACTAATCTATTTTCCTGTTATATTTGGCCTCAAAGCAATAGATAGATTTATTTGTTCGTTTATTAACCTTTTGCAGGTTGTTTAATGTAAGAAAATACTTTTAAAGTGTAAGATTTTTTTGGGAAATAATAATGATTTACTGATACAAGTTTTACAAATTAACCCATAGCTGGGGGGAAGAGGTCGATTCATATATCTCCCAATGATATTTACGCGTAATTGGATATAATGAACCCAACTGGAATTAGAAATCAGTTTTCCGATTTTTAATTACGAGCCGTTATCCATTAGATAATCCAAGATTACAGCACCTGGTATTCCCTAGCGGTCACCCGTCTTGGTACCGATGTGTCCGATTCATGCCTTTCCCAAGGTTATTTGCGCGTAAGTGAATATAACGAACCCGACTGGAATTGGAACTCGGTTCTTCGATTTACTATTCCGAACCGTTATCCATTTCGCCACCTGTGATTCCCAAGGGGCTCACTTATCTTGCTACTGACCAGACTTTACGTTGCTTAACCGTCGTTTCAACTTTATCCGACTTTAAATAATGGCAGTGCGTTTAATTTTTATAGAAGACGTGTCGATCTTTCGCCCCTTAAATGTTTTTAAACCACAAGAGGCAAATTATTGTTATATTTTCATAAAATATGTATTATACGCAAAAGGATTGTTCCACGAAAAAAAAGAAGGTTAATATATAACATGATGGCACTCCTTTTTAGTCCCAGACTAGTTTCACGTTAGATTGGGGGTGATGGATTTACAGGTGGGTAGCAGCTCTGTACGAGAAATCTGCAATCCAAGTTTAAATTCCAATCTTTTCCGCGCGTTTAGGTTCACTTTCGCAAAAATATAAATCCACCCACAGCTCTTTGCTTAATATTACGGGAGACTGGTCTTTTTAGCCGCGGTTGTTAACCAGTCTAGAAGAAGAAGAAGAAGCTCTGAATTCATAATCGAACCTCGCCAAAGAAAGCCTTATAAAAGCTTACAATCGCCGATGTAATAATATACACACACATTATATATATATATATATATATATATATACAGACTCAGTGTCATCCAACCCACCTTTATGCAAAAAAATTATTATTAATTATGATTTGTATTTGCGAAGATAGTTTAAAATTAAAAATAATAACTGCATTAGAATCCATTTTTAGCCATATGTGCATTTTGAAATTCTCAGAATTAAAAAGTAAAAACGAATGCGAATAATTATTATTCCCGTTCGTTTTTACGTTTTTATTCTGCTGATAATTTTGAAACGCTATATGTATTTTTAAGCGTGGTGAGTAGAGCTACACCACTGAAGACATGGTCAATCGGGGAGGGGTTCCTCCGACAGGAATAAAATCTCTTGGATTTAGATGATATGGTAATTTTTGTTACTGATGAGGATTGTTTTCTTACTTTCTTGCTTTATTAAAAGCTTGGTTTAATATATTATTAAATTTAACTATTATCAGATAAATGACACGATAGTCGGCGCGATTATGCAGTGACCAATATACATATTATTCGAAATAATAGTCTTATTAGAAAGGCATATACAGAGTCAACAGCAATCTACCTCAAGTATGGGTTAACTAGCCTCACCAACTCGCAATTGGCCAAACGTTCTGAGTAGGGCTAAAACCCTGAAGACAGTAGTTTCTATTTTGAATTCTTGAAAGAATGGCTTATTTTTCATTAAACACTCTTAATATAAAAAGAAAAACCGCTTAAGTCGAATTCGAACACTGTCTCTTGTCGCAGATGCCCCGTAAATCAAAATAGTTTACAGAAAAGAACGGGCGTTGCCTATGTGTGTGTCATTTTTCAAACGAAACCGTCTTCATTTCACTCTCCCTCATTTAAAAAAACAAAAACCTCCGCTCCTTCACTTGGTTGTCAACAAATCCGTAATCGAACTTCTTCTTTTTCTTTGACATTTGAACGCGATGCTACGATCACGAGCAGACGACACTGTGTCTGTCACCGAAACCACAAGAGGATAGGTTGTCTGGGTTAAGATGTAGGGCATCATCTCCATGATCAGGGGTCAGAAAAATATTTGAAATTTAAGTGAGGAGGACGTGGTAGAGATATTGGAAGAAATGACCGAAAACTCATTGAACATCTATCTATCTATCTATCTATCTATCTATCTATCTATCTATCTCAGTCTGTTCAAATCTATCTATCTATCTATCTATCTATCTATCTATCTATCTATCTATCTCAGTCTGTCCAAATCTATCTATCTATCTATCTATCTATCTCAGTCTGTCCAAATCTATCTATCTATCTATCTATCTATCTATCTATCTATCTCAGTCTGTTCAAATCTATCTATCTATCTCAGTCTGTTCATATCTATCTATCTATCTATCTATCTATCTATCTATCTATCTATCTATCTATCTATCTATCTCAGTCTTCTCAAATTTATCTATCTCTCTATCTATCTATCTATCTATCTATCTCAGTCTGTTTAAATCTATCTATCTATCTATCTATCTATCTGTTGTCATGAGTAATTGTGACAATATATATATATATATGTGTGTGTGTGTGTGTGTGTGCGTATGTGAAGAAATATAGTTTTAAAGTGGGCTATATTTATGCGATAAAGTGCTCAATATCAGAGATAGAGCGTATGTAAATATAAATATAAAAGTGAACATTGAAGTCAACACTAAGAGGCGACAGGCTGTTTCATGCTAGGCGAAATCATCAGGCCGCGAATGTTGGATTTTTCCTCGGCTATTTATATATATGGGTAAGTGTTGCACTGTGTGTAATATATTCTGGTGGTTATTTTTGCGGGAGTGGCTTCTTTGTTTATTTCTTTCTTTCTTTGGGTTCATTTATTTGACTTGCTTTTTATTTTCATTTTGTATTAGTTATTCTTTTCGGTTTTTGATGTTTTATTAACGTAGAAAAAATTGTGGTGGGGGATTTGCTTAGGTCGCTTATTTAATAGTTTATTTTGGTTTGGGAAGATAAAGCTATTTATTTGTCCAATGTTTCGATTGCTTGCCGACAATACCACTGACCCATATATATATATATATATAAATAATCGAGGAAAATCCAACATTCTCAGCCTGACGATTGCGTCTAGCATGAAACAGCCTGTCGCCTCTGAATGTTGAGCTATGGTCAGAAAGGTGTAGAGTGAGTCTTTTCTGACCATAGCTCAATTAGATCTCATTTAAATATCCATGGAGACCTACCGGACAATATTCGTAACATACTTGTTGACAACACTTATATAATAACATCATCTATAAGCAAAAAAAGTCTAAAAATAATGGAAGCCTTATTAATAAAAAGAACATGGACACAATACCTTGACCGTTTTTTGAGAAATTAAAACATTTGATAAAACATACATGCAACAAACTCTTTCTTATTTAACAGTTAAAATATTTAATCCTTGAAAATGGCTAAATGTATAGCCGAAAGCGCTCGGAATAAAAGAACATTCGGACAGTTTTTATATAATTTATCTGAAAAAAAAAATGATTAGGTTGCAGGAGAAATTGTATAAAAAAACTAAATAAAGGCACCTTGTTTGTCGTATTCAATGAATTGTGCATGAAAGAAGGATTGCTGCCTAAATACAGAAATATATATATATATTAAATAAAAACAGACCACCTTAAGGTTCCATGTAATAAATTATTTCACCACAGCCCTTTTAAAAGGACTGCGGATCATCAGTCTTTACTTCCACATTGATCTCGGTTTACCCATACGGATTACCTAGTTTTTCATAAACTATATATATATATATATATATATATATATATATATATATATATCCCAGTCTGTCCGTATCTATCTATCTATCTATCCCAGTTCGTCTATATCTAGTTATATATCTATCTAGTTATGGAATCTTAAGTTTGCCTGTTGGTTTATTGTATGTGTCTCCGTGTTCACATATAAACAGTTAATATAAACAAAAACTTGATTCTCTATTACGAACCGTTTATTCTTGTTTTGTTTTGGGTTTTTTTCGTATTTACTGTGGGGAAACCAAGTTTTCAGTGTCTCTTGGGCACACCCGTTTTCTTTATTTAGTCCAGAAATAAGTTAGGCTAAGTAATAGTAAGAATGGTTATAATAGTCGTGCCCATGACAACTTTGCGCAGAGTTGGAACGACCAAGTTAAACTCTGTACATACTTATTCGGTGAATTCGGCAGATTACTAAAAACATTTCCATTTTCTTCACTATTAGCATCATGGGAAAATATTTATTTTAATTCTTTATTACTATTCTATTTATTGGTCTTACTTAATTTTACCACATATCTTAGTTTCTATCTATGTTCAAATTTATCTCAGTCTAGTTATCGTTCTATCTACTTATCTACCTCGCTACCTATCAAGCTCCTCAGACGTAACTATCTCTATTTAGGTTCTTCAAGTGCAGTCTCGAACAAATAATTTTAATCACAGTGTCAAGTGCATTAAAACTTGTAAAACGTAAAAATGTGATTAAAAATTTCACTCAAACCAAAGAGTAAATTGATTAAAAAACATTTTATATAATTTGCATTTATAATAAGTAGCTCAAAATAACTTTGCAGATAACAAGTAATAAAGATCTTGGCAAGAATCGAACACATTTTAAGGAGTGAATGCTTTACGCAGTAAAGTATAGAAAAGTTGGAAGAGTCATATTAGGATTCATTATAATGCGGCCATAATGTTAACAACATAAGATATGCAAATGACATAGCAGGCACGGAAAGTAAATTAAACAAAACCTCCTACAGAAGGTAGCTAATACCAACCTGTACCTGTATTCACCCGAGGTGGGTTGAGCCGGCTCCAATATTG